CTTTTATTTCTCCAGAAAGGGTTTCTCTAATAACTTCCATATTTTTTTCAAGCCCAGCTAGTATCTTTAAAGTCATGATTCTGAACTCTAGGTCCGACATCGTACTAATGTCCGTATTGAGTAGGTCCCTATGCCACATCTTCTTTATCCACTCATCTATCAATGGACACGTAGGTGACTTCCATATCTTGGCTATTGTAAATAATGCTGCAATAAATATAGGAGTATATAAATCTTTTTATTTATTTTAAAGAAAGAGAGAGAGAGCACGAGGTGAGGGGCAGAGGGAGTGGGAGAGAATCTCAAGCAGACTCCCTGCTGATTGCAGGGTCCAACAGGGGTCCCAACCTCATGGCCTTGAAACTATAACCTGAGCCAAAACCAAGAGTCTGATGTTCAACTGAGCCATTCAAGCGCACCATAAATCCTTTTAAATTAGTGTTTTCATTTTCTTTGGAAATTACCAGATCATATGGTATTTCTACTTCTAATTTTTTGAGGAAACTCCATACTATTTTCCACAGTGGCTGTACCAATTTACATTCCCATCAACAGTGTACAAAGCTCCCTTTTTCTCCACATCCCTGCCAACACTTGTTTCTTGTCTTTTCGATAATAGCTATTCTGAATGGTGTGATATCTCATTGGAGTTTGATTTGCATTTCCCTGATGATTAGTAATGTTGAACATTTTTCATATGTCTCTTAGCCATCTGTACATCTTCTTTGAAAAAATGTCTATCAGGTTCTTTGTCCATTTTTAAATTAGATTATTCTTTCAGTGTTGAGTTGGATGAGTTCTTTATATATTTTGGAAATTAACCCCTTATCAGATGAATCATTTGCAAATATCTTCTCTCATTCAGTAGGCTGACTTTTCATTTTATTGATGATTGATTTCTCTGTGCAAAAGATTTTTAGTTTGATGTAGTCCCATTGTTTATTTTTGCTTTTGTTGTCTTTGCCTGAGGAGACACATCCAAATATATGTGTATTTATATATATGTTTCTTTTAGGAGTTTTGTTGTTTCAAGTGTTACACTTAGGTATGTATTCCATTTTTTTTTTAATTTTACTTTGTACATAAGGTAAGAAAGTGGTCAAGTTTCATTCTTTTGCATGTAGGTGCCTGGTTTTCTGGCACCATTTATTGAAGAGACTGTTTTTCCCCATTGTATATTCTTGGCTTCTTCATTACAGATTAATTGACCATATGCAGGTCAGTTTATTTCTGGGCTCTCTGTCTTATTTCATTGACCTATGACTCTACTTTTTTGCCAATACTCTACTGTTTTGATTATTATAACTTTGTAGTATAGCTTGAAAACAGGGATGGTGATACCTCTAGCTTTGTTCTTTCTGACGTTTTCTTTGGCTTTTTGGGATCTTTCATGATTCCATACAAATTTTAGGATTTTTTTTTTTGTTCTAGTTCTGTAAATACTATTGGTATTTTTATAAACATTGCTTTGAACCTATATATTGCTTTGTTTAGTATGAACATTTTAACAATATTAATTCTTCCAATCCATGGCATGATATATCTTTTCATTTATTTGTGTTGTGTTCAGTTTCTTTCATCACTATCTTTTAGTTATCAGAGTACAGGTCTTTCACCTCCTTGGTTAAATTTATTCCTAGGTATTTTATACTTCCTGATGCAATTGTAAATGGGATTGTTTTCTTTATTTCTCTTTCTGCTACTTCCTTATTAGAGTATAGAAATGCAAGCAATTTCTGTATCTTAACTTTAAGTTCAGAAACTTTACTGAATTCACTTATTACTTCTAATAGTTTTTTGGTGGAGTCTTTAGGGTTTTCTACATAATAGTATCTTGTCATCTGCAATTAGAGACAGTTTAACCTCTTCCTTACCAATTTGGTGCCTTTTATTTCTTTTTCTTGCATGATTGCTATGGCAAGGATTTTTTTCACTTTTATTATTTTTTTCATTAACATATAACGTATTATTTGTTTCAGGGGTACAGGTCTGTGACTCATCAGTCTTTCACAGTGCTCACCATAGCACATACCCTCCCCAGTGTCCATCACCCAGCTACCCCATCCCTCCCAACCCCCTCCACTCCAGCAACCCTCAGTTTGTTTCCTGAGATTAAGAGTCTCTTATGGTTTGTCTCCCTCTCTGATTTCATCTTGTTTCATTTTTCCCTCCCTTCCCCTATGATTCTCTGTCTTGTTACTCAAATTCATCATATCAGTGATATTATATGATAATTGTCTTTCTGTGATTGACTTATTTCGCTTAGCATAACACCCTCTAGTTCCATCCACATTGTTGCAAGTGGCAAGATTTCATTTTTCTTGAAGGCGGCATAATATTCCATTATATATATATATCTCTATCTCAGATCTTCTTTATTCATTCATCTGTTGATGGACATCTAGGCTCTTTCCATAGTTTGGCTGTTGTGGACATTGCTGCTATAAGCATTGGGGTGCACGTGCCCCTTCGGATCACTACATTTGTATTTTTGGGGTAAATACCCAGTAGTGCAATTGCTGGGTTGTAGGGTAGCTCTATTTTCAACTTTTTGAGGAACCTCCATACTGTTTTCCAGAGTGGCTGCACCAGCTTGCATTCCCACTAACAGTGTAGGAGGGTGACCCTTCTCCGCATCCCCACCAACATCTGTCGTTTCCTGACTTGTTAATTTTAGCCATTCTGACTGGTGTGAGGTGGTATCTCATTGAGATTTTGATTTGTATTTCCCTGAGGCTGAGTGATGTTGATCATTTTTTCATGTGTCTGGTGTCCATTTGCATGTCTTCTTTGGAGAAATGTCTGTTCATGTCTTCTGCCCATTTCTTGATTAGATCATTTGTTCTTTGGGTGTTGAGTTTGATAAGTTCTTTATAGATTTTGGATACTAGTCCTTTATGTGATAGTCATTTGCAGTATCTTCTCCCATTCTGTTGGTTGTCTTTTGGTTTTGTTGACTGTTTCCTTTATTGTGCAAAAGCTTTTTATCTTGATGAAGTCCCAATAGTTCACTTTTGCCCTTGCTTCGCTTGCCTTTGGTGATGTTTCTAGGAAGAAGTTGCACGGCTGAGGTCAAAGAAGTTGCTGCCTGTGTTCTCCTCAAGGATTTTGATGGACTCCTGTCTCACATTAAGTCTTTCAACCATTTGGAGTCTATTTTTGTGTGTGGTGTAAGGAAATGGTCCAGTTTCATTCTTCTGCATGTGGCT